GGGCGGGAGGCCGGGACAGAGGGGTTTGGCGAGAGGATTAGGGAGTTATTTGTGGTGCGCAGTATCACTTCCTTCCTACCCCCCACCCCCCTTTCCTCTGCCGAGGGGGAAAATAAGTGGATGCTGGAGCACAACGTCCCAGCCAAAGAGCTATTTTAGTATTGGCATCTCCCATGGCCGCACGGCTTTCCCCACCCACAGGACGGCATGGTCCAGGAAGTGCCGGCAGTAGCGCTACGGTCCAGAGGAGGAGGGAGACCCAGAGAGCAGCGTGGAGAGCCTACCTCTTCATAGGTGACACGAAACTCTTAGGGGTTCTGGGTCATCAGAGGGTCGCACACACACCTCATCCTCCCCTGAGAGAAAAAGCCTTCCCTGAAGAAGCAGTCCCGAGGAATCTGGTGAATTCCCATGTGAAGAGCTTCCTCAGTAAATTAACTTCTCTCTCAGGGGAGGAAATGATACGAGCTTCTTTTAATAGGACTTTGATCTCTTGGGTTCAACACATAACTGCTTTTCTAACTCGCTGGGATACTCCAGTTGTGTGGTAAAGGGCAGCAAGGATTTATAATGCAAACGCCTTTTTTTTTTTTTTTCCCCTTTTCAAACGTTGCCAGCGCGCATGGGTTGAACGCTGTTAATAATAAACTTTAGGCCTTGTCTTTGTGCTGTGCCTGTATCAGTGCAGCTGTTTTGGTAAGGGGAATAACTTTTTTAATTATGATAATTTATACTGGTGCAGCCTCTACTGTGGGCAGGTTTTTACTGAGGTAATTTAATAGCTTATTCCCCTGCATTTACAGGAATAAGTCATATGATATCAATACCTTCTTATTAATGTTACAACCCTCCACAGGAGGCTGAAGTACTATAATTATGCAGCTCTCGTTGAAGTAGGACAGCTTTTTGTATGTCAATACACGTGCAGGTATTTAAGTTAATATCTACATAAACACACATACATATCGAACATAAAATCACAGTTAACAGATGTACCTGCAGAGAGAAACCTCAATTATCAACTATCATCAGTGAAAACGCTACTTTGTTCATGTATGTTAAATATATCCTTGACAACTTCTTCGTAAGGCTTGCATGCTATAATGTTTAGACAGACTTCAAATTTTCACAACAATGACAATTAGTTACCAGACCATCAGTCATTCTATTCTTGATTGAATAAAATCTTAAATCTAATGTTTTTAATATTCAACAGTAATATTATGAAAACACTTGACCTGTCTTTTACCTGCCTTTTAAAAACGAGTTAGCAATGCAATAGGAAGAAAAGATATCATGTGAGCACTAAGCTCTGCAGACTACCAATGTGCACTTCATGCCCATGAATTTGGAAACCACTGATTCAAATCATTGTACGCTGACGTTTGCTTGACAGCCTAGTACTGACACTATCTATTTCCTCCTCTAGTTCTGTTCTGTTTCAGAGTCAGGAAAACTCAACATATACTCTGCAAAGCAAGAAAAAAAGGTTAGGATATGCCAGGTAAGCGTGCCCAGTTTGTATTTTACTTTTATGTGTGTGCCTGTCTTTGTCAATATGTGTACATTTGCTCTCTTCAGCTTTTGTGTAAATGCCTTTCCCTCATCCTCTGTTTTATATAACAGGATGCACAGCTTTTCTTTAGTCGTAACTCAAAGAGAACAAAAATCATCAGAAGTATCTCTAAAATTAGAAGCATAAGCAAGCAACATTATAAAAACGTGGGAGAGGAAATATCTACGGAGCAGTGCATCTCAACTATTGGTAACAAGCACTAAGCAGTGGCCTCTTCACGTTATTAATAGCATAAAAAATAAAGTATATGCAGGTACCATCAGGAATGTCGAGGTGTCTAGAATTCTTTTTCCTAAACAAGACGACAGACAGACTAAAAGAGAATTCTTCTTTACTTTGGACCTCAATCTTCCAAAGCATGTAAAATGCAAATGCTCATTAATATATATCTACCAAGTGATTCTACTGATATGCAGTTATTTGTCTCTGATAAATAATTAACACTTTTCTTTACGAGTATCAAAGAGCAAATTAACCTAAACCGAAGATCAGAGGCAGGGGAGATGTACAGAGAGAGAATATCCTTACGGCAGACCCTACCCTGGGACACGTGACGATCCTGTCGCACCATATTGCTGCGCGTTTGCTTGACTTGCCAGGAACAGGCAAAGAAGCAAGACACAAGCTCCCTACGCGCGGAGTCACTGTGCCGTGGCAATCCTTGCAGGACGGCTCTGCCCTTCACGCCCGCTGTTGGCTCAAGAGACTCACGCATTTGGGGAGGATGCAAAACCTCATGGAAAGTCTGCTTGATTGCACCTGCGCTCCCGTTTGCAGAGCACACAAATACCTTTAGGAGCGGTTGTTAAGCAGGCATTTATTTGTGCTCGGTACACGTTCGGCATGCTACAACTGCGGGGCATTTGGGACCTGTTCTTCCTGATCGTGGTACCCTTCCCATGGGGCAGGGAACTGCCTGCACTCCCAGCAGTTGTTACAAATATAATGAGGTAGTAACATATAGCCATCACTCCTAAGGCACATCTCTTAAGGTAGCAACATCACCAGAAAGACACAGTCTTCCTTTTTACTTAATTGCTATCATCTTTATAGATGTTTCTAATAGAGACCATGGATTCTAGCTTGCCGCTTCCTCTGAAACTTTGTAATAAGCCCTGGCGTTTGATTTTGAAGACAGTCCACCAGGTCAGTGGGAGTTTGGTTTCAGTAAGTGGCGAATGAAAGCAGAGGGTCACAGCCTCAACCTTGCGAATACTTACGAGCTCGCTTTGCAGCAGGACACGCGCACTTCCTCTGGTGGCGTTCCCAGTTGGCTCACATCAATGATCCAACTCTTCGTGACTTTAGGAGGGCCACAAATCAGTAGGGCGGCCCCAATTCAAAATTAAATCCTGTGACAAGTGTTTCTAGGCTGGAATATAGCTGTCATAATTAATAAAATAAGACACCAAATGCTACAAATATATTTATAGCACGTTACCCAATTAAACGAAGACTCACTGTGTTGACCAGATGAGTGCTTTTTTTAGGAACATGTAAAAACGATGCCACTTTTTTTTTTTCTTTCAGTTCACACTAACTAGCGTGATGCTTGTGAGCTAGGAAAAAAAAAAAAAAACCAAATCGCCAC